AAGCTTCAGAAGAAAACATATTTTTCCATGAGTAGTGGTTGATTTAAAAAGTCCTCATGCAAACACCCCCACCTTTTGGCAAAAGCTCAGGTGCACGGTAACTGCTTCGCTCCCTTCAAGAACTTGACCTCCCCCTATCCCCGAGTGCGTCTTTTAAAAAAATCAATAATCTCCCCCATTCGTGAGTCCTGTAGGCCTACTTCGAAGCGCTCAGAAGGCGCGCAGGTTCATTGACCGGTCACAATGGCGAGCCCGACAAGACGCTTGTATACTTTCTTTTCTTTATGTTGCCCCCATAAGTGACGACACAGTGACAAATATTGATTTATTTTCATGGCGACACCAGGTTTGTAATGCCGAACCTGTATGTCACAATAATTGTTGCGTTATCAGACATTAACCTACAAATTTCTGGGTGGTAACGAAAGCAAACGTAAAGGCTTACTGGACGCTCTGTTATGAAATTTAGGCTAGTGGGTATCATGCTGGACTATTGAGCGGTTGACCCTAGTGCGCCCTCTTCGAAAAAGCGCGAACTTTGCGAACTGAGTTAGACCTACTCTACTTGTGTGAAAAAGAATAAAAGTGACATTCTTTTTGGCTGAGTGAACTATCTCTTGGACCTTCCGGTTACACGGGGTGCACACTACGGACGGGATCGGCCGATCGCCTGACTCGATCGCCTCAAAAACAAACGTGTTTGTTTTCAGTTTGGAAGTGGCTATTCTCATTCGGGGTGAAAATAGAAATACGATCGACCTCTCACCCCGGGTGAGACTTGCGATTGTAGGCTATTCTCACCTGGTTTGAAACAAGACCTGTTTTTCCTAATTTCGATGTGGATGATCAAATTGATATATTTAAGCCAAGAAAAAATTACGTTATAGCACAAAAGTAAGCTAATTTGATCGTCTTCAAAGATGCTATGGCTATTTCACTGTTCGAATCGAGCCGAACTGCGCGGGTCGCCATTTTGTTTTGCCCGGAAGTTCTCGCAAGATCTACTCCTCCCCTCTCTCTCTCTGTCTCTTTCTGAATACTGTCTATCGATGTGGACGATCAAATTGACCAAAACAAAGTTTAAAAATGATGTTAAAACACAAAAGTAAATTAATTTGGTTGTCTACAAAGATGCTACGGCTATTTAACTTTTCGAATCGAGCTGAACTACGCGGGTCACCATTTTGTTTTGACCGGAAGTTCTCGCGCTACTCCTTTCTCTCTCTCTCTCTCCACTGCCCACAGACAAAATTGTACGCTTTTAGTAGGCTACAGTTGTAATGGAACGTTTGTTCACGGCACAGAAATCTACAATTTTTCTGTTATCACAGTGTAGAATTCTGTGGTTTAGGGTGAACGCAAAATTTGTTGGCCTAGATCTAGGCTATAACGGTGAACGCGCACCGGGTGAGAATAGCCAAAAGACTCGCCTGCACTATTCTCACCCCGGGTGAGAATAGAGGTGGCCTTTCAGTTTCAGGCGATCGAGTCGGGCGATTGGCCCAATCCAGCCATAGTGGGCACCCCGTATTACCGTGTATGTAGATACTGAGACTACGTGCCCGGTTACCGTGTACGTAGACATTCCGTCTAGGAAATAACAAAGGGAAGTGACTTTGTGAGAGGAACAGACTTAAATGTACAGTGTGACATAGATCTAGATCTAGATCTAGATCTAGTTTTGAGGCACTGCGTCACCGATCTCGCGTAAATAACATGATGCGAAGAGGGGCCAGCTGACGAGTGAAATATCTCTCACTGGTCATCTCCAATTAAACACGAGAAAGAAAGCAATTGCCGATTTCGTCACCTTCGAATTCGTTGCAATGGCAAACATAGTCAATAATGTATCGATAAAAGGTCATTCTAAATAATACTTTCTAATACCGGCTTACGCTTTTCACTACTTTCACGAAGGGAGGGAATAGATCTAGGCTTTGCAGCTTAACCAACTTTACTTCAGATTGATTTGATTACAGAAGGAAAGCAAGTCTTCAAGCTTTATGAAGGTGACAAAAAGTTAAATCAACACACCTGAAACTTGAGAAAGTCATCGCACGGCAGATATTGTTGTCCATTGGGCGCAGCCATCTTTATTTGAACCGAGGTGACCTTTGTGACTTTATGACCTTAACCTTTGCACCGCAGCAGCTGTAGATCTATCTAAA